TAAATGCAAAACACTCCCTCACTCTATCAACACTGCAAGTAACTCTCAGTCTACCTGCCAATTCGGCAGCATTTAAATGGACGTGTGCAGTCGCTTAAAGCCCTGATGCGATTAAATTTGGTAAATAGCTTTTTTTGTGTGTCAGGCATTTGCTAAGCCTACCCGTGCAGGGTCCATTAGAAACGTAGTGTTGTAAGGACTGAATGGTGTCTCTTGTTACTTAGCAAATCCACTGAGTGGGATAATTGGGTCCCTGGGGTGCAGTGTGGATGCAGTATTTCATGGCATCCCACAGCACAGAGAAGGCATGGTATATGAGGACAACTCCCTGAAGACTGAGCTCAGATCCGTGTCCGTCCTCGCGAGAACTATGATTGGAGACAGAAGAATTCTGAGTTAGATCCTGTGGTATAGTTTCCCGAAGGTCAGGATTTTACTCTGTGCCTCAAGCGTGTAATTTATCTAATAAAACAGAGTGTTGACCTAGCATAGACATATTAGTTCGGGACAAGTTAGGTTGACCCAGCACAGGTCTTATATGTATGCGATGTGATACATTCTCTTTCATCTCACTCCCATATGTCTCTCTGTCTCCTGGGACTCAACCCCATCCGGTGGCATGATGTCTCTTCCCCTTAAGGAATATCAACCAGCTGGGCCCTCAAGCCCAGATGTGCAAATTAGATGTTACAGTCTTAATAACAAACGAATGTTGGAGAAAACGGCAATGATGACAATAAGCTGCCAGTGCACCTGCGGTCTTGTTCCTTCTGTACAGTGCCCAAAAATGTTCACAAACATGTTCATTCCTCAATTGCTTCTTTGATCTCATTTGCTTTGTTCCAAACCTTAGCGAGCTGCCTACAGATGCAACATTTTAAGATGTCAAAGGCTGTTCCAAAACGTAAGCATTTATATGAATGTATCTCTGAAGGGAACTGACTGTTTTCAGAAAAGTTTCAGTGGCATTTTCTTTTCATCCTACTTCTGTGTAATGCCTATAGCCTACAGTGCTGTTTATTATAGCGCAGCACTGCAGGGGTAACGGCTGTATTTCTGCTTTTCCATAAACGCCATCTACTGTCAGAGAGTTTTTTTCAGACCAATTATATGTAAAATAAATAATCATTTATGATTTTAACTCATCCCTTTTGTTAACAAATGCTTTAAAGGCTGAAGTGTGATATCATTTCATAGACAGTGGTGTTTATTCAAATAAATAAATACAGTTTTGCTTCGTTTTTGACCTATGTGACTTAACAATACCAGCATTTTAAATACAAGTAAAATTTCACAATTCTCAATTCCAATTTACAGTTACAGCAAAAACTAATACTAGCCTAAGTAATGTAAAGTTCAAACATTAGCAAACAAAAGCAAATCAGTCAATAATAAAATAAGAACAAATAAACAAATTACAAGAGGATGTTGTCACATATTTTCTTAAGTGGTTACATTCACTTAATACATAAATTAAATGTTTACATGGAGACATGCTTTTTGACATATTTTTGTGTGCATTTGCTCAAGAAAACGCGAACGAGAACTCGCCTAAACATGTGGTAATAGTCTAATATAAGATTTATGAAATTATTTTATGAATGCAAGGTATCTTATTCGTCTATATTTTAAGCCAGAATCGCTTGTATGAAGAAATGTGGAATATAAAACAATACAGAAAAAAAACTGTAAACATAGTTTAAATAATTGTATTATTTTACCCAAATTGTATGTCTCATCTACACCTATGATTAGTAGAGTGTATAAAATAAATAAAAAATCAAATCAAATAAATAAAAACAAATTGAGTGATTGTGTGAAGTTCACACAAAAGTCATAAAATACTTCTGTTACTGTTAATATAAAATCAATACATAGAATTTAATGTATTGATTTTTTTTACAGTTGTTTTACATGTATTTTAAATTATGCATTGTGTTGTGTTTTTACAGAAATTTTTTAACAGAAAATGTACTGGTAATTTTAATAGGTTTTATGTAGAACTTTTCAGATCGATTACTTGTAGGTTCTGTGACCATTACCGCGGGAAGTAGGGGTGCTGGGGGTGCTGCAGCACCCCCTGGCTTGGAGCTAAAGAAAAAATGGGGGTGCTGGGGGTGCGGTGTTAAAAATAAATACATTTAAATTTTGTAACAAAAAAGAAATAAAACTAATTTTATTAATTTGAATATTCATTAAAATCATAGGGGAAAAAGCTTAACGACAATAAGCAACAATTGTTGTGTGACGTCACCACGTCCACATCTGTCATTGAAGATTTAAAAATACACCAGTCAACATGGCGAAAAAACGCATTTCTGATTTTTTCGCGAAGCCCAAAAAAAATTAAAAGAGACCGAGCCTTGAGCTGGCGATAAGGAAGCAGACCTGGAGCCTATGCCTAGTGGGCAGCCAACCAGCAGTAGGCATACGCATTAATCTTATATTGTTTTAGTAGTATTAATTCTAACAATAATTCATTCTAATTCTAACAATTCTTCCTGATTATCCAGTCAGTATGGTAGGCTACTCTAAGAAGCCCTTTATTGTGGGTCACACTGTAAAACATGAGTTAAGTCAAATCAATTTGACTGTGTATAAGTTGTTTAAAACTTTTATCATATACTGATTAAAAAAAAAAAAAAAACATTTTGTTGCCATGACTTTTTTGATCATATTTTTTCCCCCTATAACACGTCTGTACCCAAATTAAGAATTAACGAGCATGTCTACAGCTATTACAAAGAAACAGAGAAAGAGCGAGAGAGTCCATTTACCTCAGCAGCAACTATGTCGCATTCTCGCATCTTGATCTTTAACGTTATCTTTTCGTGGATCAAAACTAATGCTTAAGGTTGATTCAATATATAATAATTTAAAAAAAAACGTTACATCAACAATAAAATAGTACAATGATGAAGTCGCTTAGCTTATATTAAACATAAAAATTTAACAAAACGAATAAACTGATGACTTGGTGTAACCTCATTGTAACATAGAAATAAAGTCTTTGTATTTTCCCCTTTGTGGCAATTTTGAATGACAATTTTGTTTATAAAATTTGTAACGCAAATATAATGGATTTCCCCTTTTAAAACAATCGTAGTTTGTGGTTCATTGTTATTAAAACAGATCAGTCATAAAGTAGTACAATGGCAAATTCGCATTTATTAAACCTCTAACTCTTAACAAACTGAAAAAGACGGAGCCTATACTTGCGTTGTAACCCAAATAAATATTTAAAACGAATGCTTAGTTTGTGGTTCATCTTTGTTTTTTAATGAAAACACAGCAACAATAAAGACCAACTCAGTTATTTTAAATGAAGAAATGAAACGTTTATTAACAAAAGTTCTCTTGCGCTTTTGGATCCGCCACCAGTCATTTCGCTTAACTCTCGTCACATGACTCCTGCGGCTCCGAGCTGCTTGGAACAGACGCACGGTGCCTCAGAACTGTAGCGTCCCATGTCCCGCTGAACTAAATTTATTTTATTTGTTTATTTCTTGTAACACCGACTACAGGACAAAGCCCGTGTATTGCACACATATAACTTCGCTCCTGGGAAAACTCGACAACCCCCCCTCCCTTTTTTTTTCCCTCAGCACCCCCTGCTCAAAATAAGTTCCCGCGGCTATGTCTGTGACTATTAGGATTCTACTTTAAAAGGCAGCTGCTTATGTTGCTGTCCATTATGTTGAACACAACTACAATTATGTCTAGAGTATGATCCCTGGAATAGATTACAAAAGATTCTGATGTTTTAATAGTTCTAGACCTCAGAAACCTGGACATGATTGATTACATGCTTGTCCAGATATTTGTAAATGGTTCTGATTTAAGAGCGGTAATTACTATGATTCAAAGGAACTTTTTGGAGTTTTGCCACTAGTTTTGTCTTTTGCTATGGGTGTGATATGAAAGCATAATGAGCCTATTCCTGAGGAGCCAATGTCCAGCTTATTTCCTTTGCCCTTTTGTGTTTGTAAAATTGCACTTGGAAAAGGTTGTTTGATTTTATTTCTCTCTCTGCTTTTGTTCGCTAGTTGCAGATTCATGTATAATGTATGAGGATTTTTAGTCTTTCTTTTTTCTTTTTTTGGCGACTTCAAGCTTTTCCATGGATAGAACCCCGTTTAAAAGGCTTGAGGGCCAAGAGTTGATCCCACAGCTCAGCTCAAGGGCTGGAGACTCCAGCCAAGGTCTAAGAGTTGCCATGAAAATTAGGTCACTAAAACTAGCATAAAAAGATATGTGCTTGTTTAGCGCCCCCATTGGAGGTTTCACAGTGATCTCAGACCAACTTGTAATTAATTCTGCATGAATCACAATGATAACACAAGAGCCCAATCCTAAACCATGGTACCATTTGAGACATATACTAAAATGGTCTTAAATCCACCATGTGATCTGTGCAGCTGAGGATTTAGCCATATGTGTTTTATAAAATTCTGGAATAATGAATTCAGATGATTTCTTAAAACAATAGGGTTTAACAGAGATCTAGTTTTATTTATTTATTTATTTATTGTCACTCTACAACAGTGCAGTCTCATGCCATAGCAAGAACAGCTAAGATTCCATTGAACACACAAGCAATTTACAAGCAATAGGACAAATAAAACCAATAGGCCAGACGTACAGTGAATAGTGAAATGAAAAGCTTCCGGTTTCAAATAGCTTTATCAATTAGCTGCACTCTTTTACTTTAGGTCTTACTGTCTTCATGTTAATTTGTAGTAAAGCTACTAAAATTATCCAGCCAAGAGTAGAGTTTTTTTCTTGTTAATATTATACTTCAGAAAATATTACCAACATCAGCCAGAAATGCCTGTTAAAGTGCAAGAATTAATGCACAGGTCTGATATTTTGACACACATCCAATTTTATGCCCCACCTGTTTACATTTTCTGAGTACAAACTGGTTATATTTAAATTAATACCTTCCAAGACATTTTGACAATTACTTATTGTAATTCTTTCTCTATTCCTCCCTGCAGCTGGAGCAACGTATATCTTTGGAAAGGGCGGAGGACTTATCACATACACATGGCCCAATAACGAGAGGCCCAGCACTAGAACCGATAGATTGGCGGTGGGCTTCAGCACCACCATCAAGGATGGGATTCTGGTCCGCATTGACAGCGCCCCCAGACTAGGAGACTACATCATGCTCCATATCGTGAGTCCAGTCTCCAATAATGTTTAACAGTTATGACAGCTGGCAGAGTGGCCATTATACAATAGAGCTGACTATCACGACTACCACATTACACTGTGAAACATACGTCACAAATATATTGCAGTGCCTCATTATATCATAATTTGATCAGTACATAAACTGTGGCAAACATGCAAGACAGACTCAGGATCACACATCATAATAGTGTCTCTGACAGCACATTGAAATGCTGGATTTAAATTTAAATTTATAGACCAAAAATAGGTGAATGCTGTTGTCTTGTACACTGTTAAGGTGAATTATAATTAGATACATTTATTATAATAAGATTTTCAAAAGTTGGTTTAGGTTTTGGTGTACACTGGGCCCTCAAAGACAGCAAAGTCAAGCGGTACTGTAATATTTCTGGAATCCACAGAAGTGTTTGTAGGGGATTCTGCTGATGCAAGAAAATGGTGATAATGTCTGAAAGAAAGCCAGACTTCAACAGATTGAAAGTCTTTTTCTCCTTAACGTCTCTGTGGAGAGATAATGTACTCGCAGACCATCTGTTCCATGGAACAGCAACCAAGGCATCTCCATTTTAAGAGGAAGTGAGAGAAAATGTAACTCACTGAGATGAGAGACGTGTTTTGACCCTCTGTGCATGAAAGGCCCTCATGGTGTGTGTTCGAGTACATTTACATTTACATTTAGTAATTTAGCAGAAGCTTTTATCCAAAGCGACTTACAAATGAGGACAATACAAGCAATCAAAACTAACAAAAGAGTAACAATATGTTAGTGCAAATGACAAGTCTTGGTTAGCCTAACGCAGTACACGTAGCAAGGTATTTTATATATATATACACACACACACACACAAAGAAAAACAAGCAGATAGAATAGAAAAAATAGAAAGCTAGTGTTAGTTTTTTTTTATAAAAAAGAAGATAATAGATAAAGTAGAATTAAAATAGAATAGAAAGTGCTAGAGTTAGAGGGTCAAATAAATATGGAACAGATGTATTTTTAGTCGTTTCTTGAAGAATATCAGAGGCTTGGATTACATTCTGCGACACCATTGTTTTGCAAGGAATTGCACAAATAATTATTAGTTTCGCTGTGTTTACACAAATAATATAATCACTACACTAATAATAATAATAATAATATAAAATTAATTAATTAATCAGCCTGTAAATGATTATTTTACATTTACATTTTACATTTAATTAAAGCATAAAACTGGAACAGAGGAAGTATTTTAATATTGAAAAAAATTGCAAAGGCTTAGGCTTTAAATGAAACAATAAGAATAAGAAACAATAAGTAATAAATACATTTAAATTAATTTTTTAAAATAAAAATTTGAGGTTTATAAGTATAGAAGATTTGGAAGCCGCTCTTGCCAGTCTTAGGGCTTCAACAACTGATAGCAAGGCAGTCTCATTCGAATGTCCACTTCTGAAGCCAGATTGGTTGCTGTCCAGGAGATTGTTCTGTGTGAGAAAGGCAGAGACTTGGTTGAACACAACTATTTCAAGTGTTTTTGCAATGAAAAGTAGAAGGGAAACCGGTCTGTAGTTCTCTAAAAGAGTTGGGTTAAGAGTGGGTTTCTTAAAGGGGTCATATGATGCTATTTTAAATATCATTATTTTGTGTATTGGGTGTAACAGAATATGTTGACATGCTTTAATGTTCAAAAAACACATTATTTTTCAAATACTGTACATTATTGTAGGTCCTCTAAGCCCCGCCTCTCTCAAATGCGTTGTTTTCGACAAAGCCCCTCCTTCCGACAAGCGCAGTCTGCTCTGATTGGCCAGCTGACCCAGTGCATTGTGATTGGCCGAACACCACAAGCATGTGTCGGAAATGTAACGCCCCTTACCATAAATGCGAGCGTCCGCTTTCAAAGTAAATATCAAGACAGTTAATAATGTCGTTAGTTTAACCATCAGTTCAAGCCCGAGAGGGGAACAGAGTCGTGTGACAGACACAGTGATGATGCAGTACACAAGCCACGATCAAGACAGCTGACGTGCTATGATTTCTGACGTATTTCTGAAGTGATCCGAGGTGTGCAGTGGAGTAACCAGTACATGATCAGTGGAGCAATGTCTTGTTTAAATAAGGTCCAGTTGGTTGCCTGATTTGTGAGTAGCCATAGTTAACACTCACTTGAGATCAAAAGTGTGGAAGTCTGCAGCCTGAGGTTTATCTAGGTGGATGTTGAAGTCTCCAAGCATAACTAGGGGAGTACCATCCTCAGGAAAGGTTGAGAGCAGCACATATAATTCTTCCACAAAGTTACCTAGTGGTCCTGGGGGGGTCGATAAACAACTATAAAATGGATTTTAAGAAGGTGGGTAATAGACCAGTACCTCCACCTCTGCCAGTCAGACGGGGGGAGTGGTAAAAAGATAAATTATTGGAGAGTGCTGCAGGTGTAGCATTGTCCTCTGGTTTGATCCAGGTCTCTGTAAAGGCCATGAGGTTTCGTCTCGAATGACTAGTAATAGAAGTAATAACATCTGCTTTGTTTGCAGCAGACTGGCAATTTCAGAGACCAATAGAAAAAGAAAGTAATATATTAGTAGGCATAGGCAAAGTGCGCAGGTTGTTAGGATTGCGCTGCCTACAGTGTGTGATGCATGGTATGCGAGTGGTAGTGATAGTAGGGATCTGGAAACACATAGTAAAAATAGTAGAAATGCTTCTGTTGAATTAGTAAGATCTGTACCAAAAGACATCTGCTAAAGTAGTGGTTCTCAACTGGTTTGCAAACTGGACGTCAAGTGACGCCCCAACACAGTACTAAAGCATAAACCATATTTAGTATGGGTTAATATGTTATTTATTACTTTTTATAATTTATGATTTCCATTTAAAAAATTTCTAAACCTATGTATTTACTATCATATATGCTTGATTAAATGGTAATGAATTTTAGTTGCAATTAATTAAATTAAAAAGTCGTAAAGTAAAACAACTAAACTAAAATTAAAAGGGTTCTAAAGTAAAGTAGTGAAGCGACTAACTTATAGTAATGATTCATCAACACAGCTGGGATCCATTTGCAGTTTTATTTGAAACCTTGATCGGGGCAGGCAGAAATCGTTCGGAAACTGAGGCAGTCCTAGGTCAGGGCAGGCGGCAATCCAAAGTCGATAGTCCAGTATCCAGAGCACAAGTCCAATAGGCAAGCAGCAAACAACACGAGATGAAGGCAGGCAGAGGTAATAACAGAAGGCAGTCCAATGTAACCGGAATAACGCTCAGAGATGTTCACCAAGGCAAAACAAGACTTTGCAGTAAACCTGGGTGAAAGAGCTCATTAAATAGTCTAACGTAATGGGGAACAGGTGTAGGGGAATAATCAGTGACAGGTGCAGGGCTGATGGGAAATGTAGTGCGGGAAGGAAACTAGTACTCTGGTGATGGGGCCCTCTGGTGGCCCAAAGGGAGAGTAACAGGAGCGCTCTCCGTGACACTTATATATATAACATATATATATATATATATATATACATATACACCCACACACACACACATATTTTTAATATTGTGACAGTTTGTCTGTTCAAAAATGATTGCTTCGCAGACTCATTTGTGTCCTTGTTGTTACGGAGCTGACGAGATGAGAGGCGTGCGGATCCATGCGCAAGCTTTTATTAATAAGCATAGTCAAAAACACAGGAAGGGTCGAACAACAGCAAACAGGTATGGCACAGGCAAGACAAAAGAGCAATCCTAAACGGGCTTGAGTCAGACAACAGTAAAAGTAATCCAGAGGATTTGACAAGAGGGGTAATCCGTAAACGTGAGCATAAGGCCAGGCGAGGAGCAAACACAGTCCGAAACAGCAAGCAAAGGGTTAATCCAAGATACGTGGCAAGAATCAGGAACCAGGAAAACAGGCAAGGCAAGACTATGACTAGACTATGAAAACTAGGGCAGGCTCTGTAAAGTAGCTATCACCTATCAAAGTGATAAACGCTTAACAATACTCTGCCTTGAATGGTGGTGTGAGACTGATTTATATAGTGTGTGGTATTGGTAGCAGCTGTGTGTGATTGGTTTCAGGTGAGCTTGTGATTAGTGCAATGGAGCATGGGAAATGTAGTCCAGGGTGATGTGTAACAGTCTGTGTAATGTGAGACCTCTGGTGGGGAGTGAACGGAAGTTTATAGATCGGATTCGTGACATAGCCCCCCCCCCCCAGGAGCGGCTTCCAGACGCTCCCAACTCAATATAATCCAGGAGGGTGGTGGAGCGGAGGTGGAACAGGGGGAGGGACGGTGGGCCAGGTCCACGTGGAAGTGGAGAGACCGGGAACTGATGCAGAGTTGGCAGAGCAGAGCACCAAGGCAGAACTGGCAAAAGCAGGAAGCCAGAGCGGAGCAGAGAACCAGGGTGGAGCCGGAAAATCAGGTGGAGCTGAGGACCACCACAGCTGAGCAGACGGGTCCGAAGATCCCCACGGCGGAGCAGAAGACCACCAGAGCAGGACAGGAGACCACCAGGCTGGGGCAGATGGAGCAGAAGACCACCACGGAGGAGCAGAAGACCACCTGGCCAGAGCAGACAGAGCAGAAGACCACCACGACGGAGCAGACTGGACAAAACCTACCAGGGCGGAACAGAAGACCTCCACAACGGAGCAGACAGAGCAGGAACCCACCAGAGCAGAGCAGATGGGACAGAAGCCCACCAGGGTGTGTCGGCAGACCACCACGGCGGACCAGAGTGATCCAGATCCCGTGGCGGGTACTGGGGCCTAGGGAAAACTGAGATTCAAGATACAAGCGGGCTTATTAAAAGTCTCTTTGGGCATGACTGACAGGGTTAAAAATTCAGTGTTGGTCTCCTCAAGAGTGGCCTGACAGACAGACAGATAATAGTTGGGGGCATTGGCAAAAACTGAGTGGGTTGACAGTACAAAGTTAGGTTCAAGGGCAGAACTCAGACAGGCAGACAGTTCCAAACTGGATGTATTGACTGAAAATGGACTAACA